CACCAGTCACGTTTTTCGAGAGATTCAGATTCAGGGGATGCAGAACGTTTCCACCAACCACCCCACCAGTCACGTTTTTCAAGAGATTCAGATTCAGGGGATGCAGAACGTTTCCACCAACCACCCCACCAGTCACGTTTTTCAAGAGATTCAGATTCAGGGGATGCAGAACGTTTCCACCAACCACCCCACCAATCGCGTTTCTTAAGTTCAGGCACAGATTCAGGGGATGCAGAACGTTTCCACCAACCACCCCACCAGTCACGTTTTTCGAGCTCAGGTTCAGAGGAACGTTTCCACCAACCACCCCACCAGTCACGTTTTTCGAGCTCAGGTTCAGCGGAACGTTTCCACCAACCACCCCACCAATCGCGTTTCTCAACTTCAGATTCAGGAGAAGCAGAACGTTTCCACCACCCGCCCCACCAGTCACGTTTTTCGAGCTCAGGCTCAGGCTCAGGCTCAGACTCAGGCTCGGGCTCAGATTCATCTGAACTATTTTCGCTAGGGATCCTTTTCACGTTATTTCGTTTGCGCTTTTGTTTTTTGACATTTTGAGCAGAAGATATAGAAACATCAGCACAACTTGTAACTGTGTTACCCGTTGACTCAGGCGACCACTGGAAGCGCAAAATGCCATTTCTAGTGACAACATTGGGTAAGGTTATAGATGAATGAAAATCTTTTCCACAATTTGGAAAGGATTTGATCATTTGAAAGTCAGTTCCTTCACCAGTAGACGATAGATAAATGGAACATTCTCCCGGAGAGTCATTTGACCATACAACATCGATTGTTTGATCTTGAAAAAACTTATTTAATTGAGTGGATTTACTAACCCCGCAAGTGTGTGATTTTGGAAATGATACTATGGGTGACACATCTTTGGTAGGCTCAACCACGTGACAAAATCCAGTACCAATAAAAAGGAATAAAATGTATATTAAGGGTTTAATGATAGATAAAAATAACGGTGATTTAAGGGAAAGTGTTCTTAATGTGGCCATCTTATGATAGATTATGTCTTCAAGATGCTTTATAATTTTTAAGAAGGAACTCTACCGGAGAGTAGCCACAATTATAGATTGGTATTGCAAATGGATTTTAATCAGTGATGCGATGAAGAAACGTTGGGACGCTGATGAAGCTTATATATACCTATTTTTTGCCTTTCTGTCTTGACAAAGATCTTGCGAATTGCTCAAATATCCAACCATCATTATTGGCGAGATGTACTTTGTTAAATGTGAACAAGGACCTAGTAATTTGATCTTAGTAAAATTTGATAGGTTTATTTTCTAAATATGGAATACAGTAAAATTTGCTTCTATAGATAAAAATTGTAGATCGGTTATTCATGCAATCGATAACAATAAGTATGACAAATTTCCAAAAAAGAAATGTGTGTTTGGATGGCGTATGAGTGACACTTCTAAGGAAAACGAGTTTTTAGCCAGTTCTTTATGAGAAAATGGCAATGGCTATTATGCAGATTAAATAGCATAAAATGGCAAATTTGTTGTCACACCGCGAAATTCTATTTGTTTTTAATCACAAAGAACCGGTTAAAGAACAAGTTTCTTGCCTAAAATAGCTGATTCTTAATTTCGATCTTTCTACGTTTTTGGAAAAATCGATAATGGAAAGCAACTTAATTAAAACGTGTGTCTAGATCACAGTCTTTATACTATTATGAAGCCAATTATGTTAATAGAATCGTTTCTGCAAAATTTAACGATCTGACTGATCCGTCATTCTGAATGCAAAAATATTTCCCATTACCTTCATTACCTTCATAAACTGATTGATAGTTATACAGATATGTTTATTGTGCAGATACATCCTTTACTTTGTGAGAAAACTTGGAACCATTAAAAGAATGGTTCGTGAAGACTTTATCATTTAGTTGTATGTTATAAAGTTTAATGCGTAAAAACCTTGTTCTCTATATTTAGATAATGAAACCGTGGTACGAAAAGTTTGAACACCTGCAGCTCTATATATTCATTACGATCATTACGGCGCGTTTGCAAAAAATTAACTTGAAGTGTCATAAAGAGTGCCATTTATTTACTATGACCTTTAACATTTTTTACATTTCTTGTTACAAATTACATAAATAACGTTCAGCGATTTTTCCGTGAGAAATAAATTAGTTTTATTTAGGTACGTACTTATATTTTTAACTTAAAGCGTGATTTGATCAGTGATCTATTTGTACACTATAGTATAGGATTAAATTAGTGATACAAATCGGAAAGATCGATTAATCGAGAAGTTGTCTAAGTTGGCAACCAATTAAAACTTATGAAGAAACTGATCGTTATTTAATAAATCTAAAACAATTTTACCCAGTTAAATTAGTATGTGCCAGGTTTGTGGTGCAGACAAAATTCTTTAAAATCATTTAAGGTTAGCGTTTATATTAGGATTAGGTGTTAACAAAGTATGCAGTAAAATTACTCAAGAAAAACTTTTACCTAAAGTGATTTCTTATACGGATTTTTGCAAAACGAACGTTTGTTTTTTGAAATCTGATTTGTAATTTAGAAAACCTTCATTACAAACCCGGCATATGCGCTCTTAGGCCCGGGCGTTGCCCGGGTTTAAAATATTTTATTTACTTACAGCTATTATCATAATTCCTGGGACACCATTCGATCGATCCGGTTAAGTTATTATTTCGGCATGTAGTAATAGATTCAATAAAATTACAAAATTATACGTCGTACGTACGCACGTATAATCAAGTGTTAGTGTTTCTCAAAAAAGATCTGCTATTTTTAATAGGTATTTAGTAAAGTAGTACTGTACGTTTGTACAAATGTATACGGACGTACGAAAATTAAGTAAAATTTTGGTAGTACGTACGTTAAAAAAATAAAATTTTTCGTACTAGTACATACGAATATTCTAGTAAATTCGAAGCTTTTTCTTTAATACATGAGTGACATCAAGAAAAAACCAACTTTGTTCTTAAACACCGGATTCAATTCTTGAAAAACATGTATAATTAAGACGTTAAATCGTCGTTAAATTATAAATTTACAAACTCGATTCCTGATTTTCTCTTGGTGTCACTCACATAGTTTTTTTTTCAATAAACATATAAAACATAAACATTAATTCAAATCACAGTATCAGTATTTGTCATTCAAGCATATTAAAATTAAGCGCCAAGTCAAAAAAATTCACGAACCCAACCAAACTTGTATATTAATTTTATTTAGCGATAGAATGTAAATTCATTAATGCAATGTACACGAAAGAAAATTTCCCATTATCAACAATAATAAAAGATTATGTCATAAAACTAGTTTTTAAAATGCAATTGATGTAAAGAAATTGAATCCATGTCTAATGTTAAAAAAATAACAGTAAAAATGATTGATTGTTAGATATCGAATTGAAAGAAAAAATTTTCTATCTTGTTTGAACATTAAAAAAGATGTTGCTAAGGCGCAAAATCTATTGAATTACAAAATCGATAATTATAGCATATATTTTAAGAAAAAATATTTTAAAATATTTACCTTTTCTATTTGATGCAATTTATTGTCTTGTAATTTTGCTTTTATCATTTTGTATATGTCACACCTGAGTTTTTATGAGTTTGTTTAATTTATCATGACCTTTCATCATATAGTTTTAAGATAAAGTTGGGATATAAAACATGTTAGTTTTAGAATTTCTTAATTGATTCCTTTACTAATTATTCAGTTTCCAGTTCTTGCTAATTAATTTTATTATTATAAAACAAGCTCATATTATTATTTTAAAAAATTTATATATTTACTTGAATTCAGGTTTACTAATCAAATTTGATGTAGAATATATCTATACAGTCGGCCCTCTCAGAACCGGTATGCATGGTGGACGGGTTTAGTATCGAAAATGGCAGGTTATCAGTTATTACTTATGGAACGGGTGTCTGGTAGATTGATTTTTACCCGATTTTGGCAGGTTATCAGTTTTGACAGGATCGGTTCTAAGAGGGCCGACTGTATTTTTGTCAATAATTGAATAAAAAAGTTGAATTGATATTATAAAAAAGATATTGCTGACAGAATTATCATAAAATCAATTATAACAATAAGTCAAAAATTTGAGGATATGATCAATTATTGTATGGTAAATAAGAATTAATTATATACAGTACCAAACAGTAAACATATCTAATATTAATTAGTAAAAACTTTAAAGTATTATAACTTTTTGAAAACAAGCTAAATAAAAAAACCCTCTGACAAATTAATAGATTTTTAGATAAACTATATTTCTGTTAGAAAATTTTTTTTTTATTCTTTATTTTGAGAAAGTTATAAAGGATTAAAGTTTATATGAGTTTAAAAAATTGGTATTTAATATAGAAAAAAAGAAAACATATATATAATTTTAACCAATCAGAATCAATTACACAAAAATTAGCCAATCAGA